CTCAGCTCACTGCAACCTCTGCCTCCCGGGTTCAAGTGATTCTTCTGCCTCAGCCTCTTGAGTAGTTGGGACTACAGGCATGTGCCACCGTGCCTGGCTAATTTTTGTGTTTTTAGTAGAGTCGAGGTTTCGCCATGCTGGCCAGACTGGTCTCGAGCTCCTGACCTTGTGATCTGCCCACCTCTGCCTCCCAAAGTGCTGGGATTACAGGCATGAGCTACTTTGCCCAGCACTGGACAGATTTTAAGTGTACATTTCAATGAATTTTGAGAAATGTAAACCCATATGAATTATAGGATTTGGACACACAGGTAGCTTATTTAGAGAAATTGCAAGATGCCATAGAACTGTTGTAAAAAGCATGAAATTTGGAGTCAAGTTCAAGACCAGCCTGACCAACATGGAGAAACCCTGTCTCTACTAAAAATACAAATCTGGTTACCCATTCAAGCCTCTACACTAAACAGCTGTGTGACTTTAGACAAGTCCCTTCCCCTCTCTGGGTTTTGGCTTCTGATTTGTACAATGAGAAGGCAGACTCCCCTCCCATAGCCTTCCGCCCCAGCTGCAGGTCCATGTGACAGAGCAGGTATTCAGCAAAGGTCACGCAAGACCTCCTGAAATTATGAAGAGCTACTGTATTCTCCTGATCTTTGCAAAGTGAATGCAGCTCACCTGGATCCTTCCAATCAAATTCTTGAAGAAGAGAAACTGGAGAAATAATAATAAATATTTTAACAATAAATGAGGATGGCAGGAAGCCAAACCAAGCCTTGTGTCCTTTAGGAATGTACCTAAATGTTTGTAATCAAGCCCTTCTCAATTTTTTTTTTTTTTTTTACTCCAGTACATGAATAAAAAAAGATTCTAAAGGGATTTGCTTCAATTTCACAGCAAGTACCAAAAGCACATGGTCTGCCAAGTAGGTTGAGTTTAGCTATTTTTGTTGTATGGAAGCTGACTTGCCTTGCTAAAAGCAGTAAGGGCTTCTCCAACAAAATGAGATGAATTCCTCAAATTTATGTAGTATTTGTCACTTTTCAAAGCTTTCTTGTCCATTTCTCATTTGATCTACACATTTGGCTCTATGAAGATATTTAAAAAAAATTTTTTTAGACACAGGGTCTTGCTATGTTGACCAGGCTGATCTCAAACTCCTGGCCTCAAGTAATCCTCCTACCTCAGCCTCCCAAAGTGCTGGAATTTCAGGTGTGAGCTACCATACCCAGCTACTTTGGCTCAATGACAGGAAGCAGGACAGGAAATATTCTTTCTCTTTATTCAGGTGAGGATCCTAAGGTTCAGAAAAACAAAGTGAATGTCCTCAGAATCAGCAGTGAGCCACTCTGAATTTCTAGCCCTGTGTTCTTGGGCCAGGATCCACTTTCTCATTCACAAACAAACCAACCAACCAATCCAGAGAACCTGAGTCTAAGAGGTTTTAAAACCAACAACGAGCAAGGTATGGTGGCTCATGGTTGTAATCCCAGCGCTTTGGGAGGCTGAGGCAGGGATGAGGCCAGAAATTGGAGACCAGATGAGGCAACATAGTGAGACCTTGTCTCTAAAAAACGCCAACCCTGCTCTGCCCCCAAGAAAAAACACAACACACACAAACATTAAAAAAATTAAATTACCAGGCAGGAGCCATGGCTCACACCTGTAATCCCAGGACTTTGGGAGGCTGAGTTGGGTGGATCACTTGAGGTTGGGAGTTCAAGACCAGCCTGACCAACATGGAGAAACCCTGTCTCTACTAAAAATACAAAATTATCCGGGTGTGGTGGCACATGCCTGTAATCCCAGCTACTCGGGAGGCTGAGGCAGGAGAATGGCTTAAACCGGGGAGGTGGAGGTTTCAGTGAGCCGAGATCATGCCATTGCACTCCAGCCTGGGCAACAAGAGTGAAACTCCGCTTCAAACATAAAACAAAAAATTAAATTACCATCAATGACAGTAGGTGGCAGTTAACAATAATCGACATTTATTGACCTCCCACTATCAATGAACACTTTGTAATTCTCCCAACAGCCCAATGAGGATTCTCCCTGTTGTACACTAGAGGAAGCAGAGACACAGAGAGGTTTTATGGCTTGCTCAAGCTCACACAGCAAGTTGGCTCCAGAGCTGGAACATCACCCAGGCCACCTGGCTGGAGGCCCAGGCCCTTCACCCCTATGCTACACTGCCTCAAGTTACACCATGCTGCTGATTAAAGAACTTTCTGAACAAAGCCATTCATTGGCCAGATGAGCGGCCCTGAAAGTCAGTGAGGCCCCTATTCCGAGCACTTCAAGTGGAATCATGGTGGAGGCATCTTTAGATTTAAGGCAAAGGGCTGGGCCAAACATCCCTGCTAATCCAGAAATAAGGGGATTTGATGAAATATCTTGAGGATTCTAGCCTTTCAGGACAGGACAGTGACAAGTCCTCCTTGCTCCTGGGCTTCCAGATCGAACATGTTTTCCCAGCCTGCCCACCATCCTCTCCTCAGGGGCACTGGGATCAAGTGAGCTGGGGGAACAGGTGGCTGTGCATGGATCATCCTGGAAATCTGACAGCACAGTCCCCAGCCCAGGGACTGGGGAGGAGGAGCAGCAGAACATTAAATTACAGGGTGTTTGCTGCTTGATTAAATCAGTGCACTTTGTGCAGCGCTGTGGAGCTGCAACATGCCAGGCTCACTCCTGGGCTTGAGGCCCAGATGTTAGTCACAGAGCCTCAGTCAGAGTGCCAAGGGCTCTCAGGAACACCTCTTTTAACCGCTTCATTTCACACATAGGCCTACAGCAGACCAGAGAGGGGAAGCAGCTTGTCAGAGGCCACACAGCATTCTTTCAACACATATTGAGTGCCTACTGAGTGATATTAAAGGTGAACAAAATAGCCACATGCTCCAATGTCATGGAACTTACATGTTAGTGGAGGCAATGGGCAAAAAGCAGATAAACACACGAAATCAGAGATTGTGATCTGTGCTGTGGAGAACATGCAGTACTTCAACCAGGCTGATCAATGGTGGTCCCTCTGAGAAGGGGGCATTTAAGCTGAGGCTTGAAGGATGAGAAATATGGGGTGTTACTATATGGGTGGGAGCAGTGGGGATGCAGTGGGAACACTATGCCCTAGGGCCCCGCAGGCTGGGATGAGTTTCCATGAGTTTGTGGGGCTGGCACAGAGCAAGGCCAGGGGTAAGAAATGGAGGGGAAATCTGAAGGTAAATGGGGTCTGGAGCGTAGAGGGTATGTGGGCCAAAGCGAGAGGTCTAGAGTTTATTCTTGTAATAGGAAGTTATGGAGAGTTGTTTCTTTGATTGTTTGCTTGCTTGTTGTGTGTGTGTGTGTGTGTGTGTGTGTGTGTGTGGTTTTGTTTTGTTTTTTGAGATGGAGTCTTGCTCTGTTGCCCAGGCTGGAGTGCAATGACGTGGTCTCAGCTCACTGCAACCTCTGCCTCCTGGGTTCAAGCAATTCTCCTGCCTCAGCCTCCCGAGTAGCTGGGATTACAGGTGCCCACCACCACACCTGGCTAATTTTTGTATTTTTAGTAGAGACAGAGTTTCACCATGTTGGCCAGGCTGGTCTCAAACTCCGGACATTGTAATCCACCTGCCTCAGCCTTTCAAAGTGCTGGGATTACAGGCTTGAGCCACCACACCCAGCTGCCTGTTTGTTTTTATGAGAGTGGCAGATGGCTGGGTTGTGGTGGCTCACGCCTGTAATCCCAGCTCTTTGGGAAGCTGAGGTGGGCAGATAACAAGGTCAGGAGATTGAGACCATCCTGGCCAACATGGTGAAACACCGTCTACTAAAAATACAAAAAATTAGCCATGCGTGGTGGTGCACACCTGTAATCCTAGCTACTTGGGAGGCTGAAACCGGAGAATCGCTTGAACCTGGGAGGCGGAGGTTGCAGTGAGCTGAGGTTGTGCCACTGCACTCCAGCCTGGTGACAAAGCAAGACTCTGTCTCAAAAAACAAACAGAAAAAAAAAAAAAAAGGAAACAAATTAGCCAGGCATGGTGGCAGGTGCCTATAATCTCAGCTACTCTGGAGGTTGAGGCATGAGAATCACTTGAACCTGGGAGCTGGAGGTTGCAGTGAGCTGGAGGTTGCAGTATCCCTGATCATGCCACTGCATTCCAGCCTGGGTAACAGCAAGACCCTGTCTCAAAAAAATGTATATATACAAAAAATTAGCTGGGCGAGGTGGCTTGCACCTGTAGTTCCAGCTACTTGGGAGGCTGAGGTGAGATAATTGCTTGAGTCCAGGAAGTTGAGGCTGCAGTGAGCCACGATTATGCCACTGTACTCCAGCCTGGGCAACAGAGTGAGACCCTGTCTCAAAAAAAAAGAAAAAAAAAATAGTTTTTAGGATGGGTAGAAACTTCCAGAACATTCAGGCTTTTTTAGAAATAGGAAAATTGAGGTCCAAAGAAGAAAAGGAACTTTTTTGGGTCTCATGGGAAGTAGCAGTAGAGCCAGAACTGGAAAGCAGCCCTTTTCTTATATCTCACTGTCTGGTACTCCCCAGCAGAAAGGGAAGCAATGTGGCAAACCTGAGCCAATGTTTCTCAAAGGAGGCTCTGGGGAACCTGGGGAACACCGCACTTAGGACGTTTGTTTCACATCACATGAGTTTGG